GGAATTGCTGTGTATTATGGAAACACTATTTTTAACTTTGTAAGACACTGCTGAATGATTTCCAAAATGGTGTGCCATTTTTACTTGCCCATCAGCAATGTATGAGAGTTCTAATTGCTCTGCATTTTCATCAATACTTGGTATCATAAGTCTTTTAAATTTTAGTCAYTCTAGTGGATKCGTATTTTTACCTCATTATGATTYGGCTTTGTATTTTCTTGRTAATAAATGATGTTGTTTMTTCAAGTTCTGTCTATTCAAAGGAATAGGACTATAGAGCTGCGTACCTTCAGGCCAGTAGAAAGGGCTTGTCAGCCGAGGGCTTTACCATGAAATAATCATCCGAGGCCATTTTGCAGAAAATTCTGCAGCATGGTATATTTATTACAATTGATAAWCCAATGGTAATATATTATTATTAATTAAAGTCCATAGTTTACAATAGGATTTCCTCTTTGTATAGTTCATTCCAGGTTTTGATAAATATGAAAGATCACATATCCATTATAATGGTAACATCCAGAATAGTTTCACTGCCTTAAACATTTTCTGTGTACCACCTCTTCATCYTTCTCTCCCTTCTTTCCCCAGAATCTCCTACAACCACTATCATAGTTTTGCCTTTTCCAGAAAACCACGTAGTTGGAGTCACATAATATGGGACTTTTTCAGATTGGCTTTTTTCACATAGTAATATGCATTTAAAGTTTCTCCATGTTTTTTCATGGCTTGCTAGGTAGATTCTTTTTATTGCTGAGTAATATTTTATTATCTGGATGTCTACTAGTCTATTTATCCACACACCTACTGAAGAGCATCTTGGCTGCCAAGTTTTTGCATAAAGCAACTATAAACATTTGTGTGCATRTTTTTGTGTGGACATAAGTTCAACTCACTCAGGTAAATACCAAAAGCTGTGATTGTTAGATTTATGTTTAGTGTTGTAAGAAACTGCCAAACTGTCTTCACTCATTGTGTGTTTTTTTTTTTTAAGGAGGAAGGAGAGAAAGAGAGAGAGAGAAAAAGAGAATCTTTTTTTTTTTTTTTTGGTAGATGGACACAACACAATGCATTTTATTTTTATGYGGTGCTGAAAATCGAACCCGGGTCCCGCCCGTGCTAAGCAAGCGCTCTGCCGCTGAGCCACAATCCCAGCCCCCTCTCATTGGTTTTTGAGGTTTTGGTTTGGTCTATCTTGTAGTCTCCAAGAGCACATCTATAAGTAATTTCTAAAAGAAAGATATGTAAAGAAGRAGAGGTGGATTACACATGTTCTAATAATATATATCTTTCTATGGATTTTTTTTTTTTTACCCACACAAGTCACARTGGCCAGACTTAATGACCTTGAGTCACAAAGTTTTCCCTCAAATATTTGTGAATGTCACTCCAGTGTTCTCTGATATTTAATATTATCGAGTGAAGTCTAAGCCTACCTATTTTTTTTGTCTCTGTAGGTAACTGATTTTGTCGACCTATAAACTTAAAGCATATATTCCTTTACATCATAATTCAGGAATATTGTCAAGATGTGCCTGGATGTTGCTTTCATGTGTAGCCTTTTGGATGTAATAAAGCTTTTCAATATGAAGACTCCAGACTTTTTACCATTAGGGGTATTTTGCTTAATGAGTCTTCAATTATTCCTCATCTCAGATGCTCTGCTTTCTTACCCAGAAGTATCTACATTACTTAAGGCAGATCTCTATTTTTCATTTTTTTATTCTCCCCATATATCTCCTTCTTTCCTTTTGGAAAGTTTCTCAAATTTGTCTTTGATATCACTATTTGGGCTTCTCTGGGTCAGTTCTTTTTTTCTGACTCCAATTTGAATTTTTCACAGGTCATTGCATTTTTATAAACCATTGGTGCTTTCTTGGCTTATGGTTTTCTGCTCTAGTTTTATAGAGATCATGTCTTCTTATATCCAGTTAGGGATGCCATGTGATTTTCTAATTTTTTTCCTGATTCTTATATCAACTAATATTCTGCTAATCTTTTAATTCAGAAGTTCTACATAGGCTTCATTCTACAACCCATTTGGCTTCACATGGTAACAGGTGGACAGGCACAGTGTCCCCCATCTAGCTGGATTTCATAAGATGCAGCCAYTCGATCCTCTATGATGCATGCATGAAAAGCTCCACACCCCTCTATGGCTGTTGCCAGGACTGCTCCTGTCTCCTGCAGTGTTCTGTGGGAGTAGCAGTTTGCAGGAGGAAGGCCTGTCATCAACATTATTTCTCCCCTATTCCTGCTCCACTGGATGATTGAGATGGACAAGGCCACGATGGAGCTGCACTCCATCTGGGAGCATATGTCSCAGACTAAATGTGCCTGCTTCTTGGAGTCCCTCAGGATGATGCTTGTGTCAGCTCTGCTCCCGCTAGAACCCTGAGGCCCACCTGCTTTTCATATTCAAGCATGGGGTGAAAGGTACATGCTTATGTCTTCGATTTCTGAAGCATGAAGAAAAATGGCCAAACCAACCTTGTAAAACCACAAATCTTTACTTCTCACTGCTTCCCAGTGAACTTGAGGAATAATTTGTCCTATCTCATCACTTGGGTCTCATCAGCATTGAGACCCAGTAAAACTCTACCCTAAAGTCCTACAGAACCAGAACAAGGGAAGAGAGAACTGTGAACTATCGGTTTTGAAAAAAAAACCTCCATGTTGGTGAAACTRTGACCATTCATTCCACAAACATCTCCCGTGTGGTTTCTCTGTGCAAGGCACACAGGCTAGTGTCTCTGGATGCKGAGAAATGCCCTAAACAGCACTAAGCAGAACATAGATATCCCAGAAAGAAGTCTCTGAGGAAGTAATGTGGCTTCTCTGAGCACCCAGACATCTTTGGTATTCACTCTTCATAGGAGAGAATGGGTTGGGGAGGGGGAGGGAGGGCTACCTCAGAGACCAAGCAGCCACGAGCCTGCAGCTCCCCAGGAACAGGCAGAATTGCACAAACTCAAATGAATTAGGAGTATAAATTGAGCAGTTCGACTTGGCTTGCACAGTACAATAAAGATCTGCAAACGCTCAGCTCCGTATTGAACCCAAGGCAGGGCGATTAATTCATTATGCACTTCCTAGCCTGGAAGGGAAAGCATGTATACCCAGGGAGCAGCAWGGGATGAGCACAGTCATAAATCACACTATTTACAAGTGTAGTGATGAGGAAATCAGCTGGCTGGAGGGGGATGTAGGCAGCAACAGTGGCAAGAGAACTGGCCAGTCAAGGAGGGTCAGTCTGCTTTCTGGAGTCGCACCAGTTGGCCAGTCATTTGGTCTTCCAGCCAAGGCAGCCAGCCTCTCGGCCACCCGGCTTGGTGCTTCCTGGCCAGACCACAAGGAAACAAACTCCACTCCGCCCAGCAGGAGTGCTCCTGTGACCTGAGATGGCCTCGCCAAAAGTGGACAAAGTACTAGGAATAGCATTAGGATCTGTCTAAAAGGCTGCTGTCAGGATAAACCCCTACGTGTAAGAAGAGCACGCGCACGGCCACCCCAGCCTCCCTGGGCTGTTCTGGGTTCCAGGTGCTTTGGGCTCAGCTGGAGGGGCAGGCTTGAGTCTGCTTCTGCACCCTTCAACCAGGACCTTGGATGTCACTAGCTACCAATCCTGAGTCAGCACCTTTATTCCCCAATCTTGTTGCCTTCAAGGCAGAGCCCTTTAGGGGCCTGGAGTTTCATTTAGTGTTGAAAGGAACCATCCAACACAGGGCTTTTTAGTCCCTGTGTGAATACAGGGTAGTTCTTTGAATATCTGACAATTCTTTCTCTTCCAGTAAATTATCTCTGGTTTCCTCAATTGTTCCTCATATTTAAAGACAATAATATTGAGACTTTTTCTGTGCCTAACTCTTTACATGTATTAGCTCATTTAACTTTCATGATTTTTGTTTGTTTTGTAATAATGGGGATCAAATCCAGGGCCTCATGAATGGTAGGGAAATGTTCTACCCCTGARCTACACCCYTAGCCTTTTAAAACATTTTTATTTTGAGAAAGGGTCTTGCTAAGCTGCCAAGCCTTARATTTATGATCCTCCYGTCTCAASCTCCCAAGTAGMTGGGATTATAGGGGTGCACTATCATTCCAGCTTGGTGAAGCAGTTTTTAACTTCAATTTGCAGATRAGGAAACTGAGGCTTAAATTAGTCAACTGGCTTGTCAGGATTCAATCTTGAGCCAGTCTAACTCTRGACACTAGGCTTCTAACCTTGATAATGTGCCATCTTGCTTACTSAGGGCCTCATGGTATTGGCTAAAATGCTACAGACCTCTGTTTCAAGGCCTTTTTTCCCTGGACCCAGGGGAAATTTGAAGAGACTAGCCAAAGCCCTCTAACTTGTATGCAATTTAGCATAAAAAATAAAAATAAAGTAAAATAAATGAATAAAAGTATTTATCCACCCTACCTTTAACCCTCCACCTGAACTGATAAAAGGAGAAGTCCTTCTTTCTCTTTCTTCTTCCCAGGACAAATATTAGGGCCAACATGCAATCTGTTTATAATTTCCTTTTGCCTTATTTGGTACACAAAGGARCACAGTTCTTCTTAATCTATTTATGGAGCAAAGGAGCAAGCAAGCAGGATTCCTTAACAAAAGGGTMTCTAACCAAGGGATTAGTGGGTAATGCTCTTTCTCCTCAGTGCTACCAGGCTGATATAATACCAAAAAAAAAAAAAAAAAAAAGCACCAGGACTTAGCCTACCTTACTTAAGAAGAATAGTCATAATCGGTCAATACCTTTCCTTCCCATAAGCAAGGAAAGAATGTTATCTGGGTAGAGTCAGAGGTCAAGGCTGCAGTTGGGGATTTTACCAGGCATTGCCCTGAGCAACATTATACACATATTAATAAAACATCAGGTGAACACTCTCAGAGGAAGAGTTTGACTGTCCTCATGTGTGGCTTGTATTTGGCATATGGTAAATACAAGCATAGTACAATACAAGCAGGAAGACTGACGAATGGACTTTTGCTTTTACAGTGTACTCTCATCCCAGGAGGAGGGCAATCTAAACGGACAGCCAGGTGGGCCCTGAAGAGCCTACTCTCTGGCCTTTCCAAGCAAGGGAGCAAATCAAGCCAACCTGAGAGACAGAGTGAGAGTTTTGACCTCCGCATCGCTCTGGCAACCTCAAGGAAGTTCTGCTTACTCAAAGCGTGCCCAGTGAGTTGGGGTTGCTCCAAGAGAGCAGGAAGATGGGCGCAGGATACGAGCTGGTGCCGGCCAGCCTCCATTAGGATCAACATGAGATGTGGGTGGAGGCCTTGAGGACTGAGGAAACCTGGAGAAAATTGCTTGTGGCTCAGGCCCAGGTGCAAACACTCCCAATTACCTAAAATCAGGACACTGTGTTCCAAAGCAGTGTGTGGCTCAGTTTCATCACCCAGCATGAATTCACCAACAGAAGTTATGAAACYTAAACTGTGAAGGAGTTGACTATGCCTGAGGGATGGAGCACACTGCTACTATTCAAATRAAGTGAGGTCACTAAGTAGGTGCCACCCCAAATATGTGTGCTAATTCTCCCTAAAAATCTGTGTGGCACAACACGAGTATGTAAAAACCTGACTGAACTAAGCTGAAAACCAGAGGTAAAAAATGTGCAAACTTGGTGTGTTTCTGAGATTAAACTTGTATGAAACAAAGATTTTTAAGCACTAATTTGTCGAGGTATTCATTTTTATATAGTAAAATGCACAAATCTTTTTTTTTGAGCGGGGGTGGGGGGGGGGAAGGGGATGTACTGGGGATTGAATCCAGGGTGTTTTTCCACTGATCCACATCCCCAATCCTTTTTTAGTTTTTAAATTTTGATACAGGGTCTCACTACATTGCTTAGGGCCTTACTTAGTTGCTGAGGCTGGCCTTGAACTTGTGATCCTCCTGCCCCAGCCTCCTGAGCTGCCAAGATTACAGGTATTTGCCACCATGCTGTGCYATACACACACATCTTAAGTAGAACTCTAACTTTGTATGTATATGTCTTTTCRCACATATGGCAACTTCCCAGATCACAAAATAGAATATCTCACTTTGCAAATTCCTCTGTGCTCATTCCTAGTGAATCCTCACCCCTGGATAAGAACTGTACCAATTCTTTCACTATAATTTATGACCATCTTTAAACTTTAAATGGAATGATACTATGCATTCTCTGGCTTCTTTTACTCAGGRTAATATATTTGAGATTAATTCATGTCATTAAAGCTATCCATAGTTAATTCCTTTCTATTGCTGAATAGCAATCCATTGTATGAATACAGACAATTTGTTTATCCATTCATCTGTTAGTAGACAGTTGTTTTATTTCCAGTGTTTGGTTATTAAAAATAAGACTGGGTATGAACTTTTTTTTTCTATTTGATACAGTATCTTTGTATAAAAATACACTGGTTTCTCTAGGGTACAAAGAACTTTATTAGAAACTGCCAAGTAATATATGGTAAATTTTAAAATAACTTATAGAAATGTGAAATAAAGGTAGAAATTCCTTAAGTTTGCTTTATAATTTATATTTTTAAAAACAGGTAAAATAGGAAGAATTGCTCAACATTCAAAGTGCCTTATAAGGGTAAAAAGTAATTTTATTCTATGTAAAATGCCACAAATATACTCTTAGGATATGTGTTTTTACTAGCTGAGACTTTAARCAAATTCATTTTAGGCAAATAGATCTTAGGAGAATTGGCCCAAAGACTACACATAGACTCTTGTTGAGACAGGTCTCCCCCACTCTGTACTAGAGCAATTGAATTTTTAAACAATGCAGAGTTGACATTCATCCCTAGGAGATTTCATACCAATGGGAAGTACATGTATATTTATGCACAGGGATATATGGGATTAGGATGTTGGAACAAGTAGACACTTGGTAGAAGGAGGGAAAGGAATTCCTGGAGCTCYGGAGACACTGATAATGGGCCCTGAGCTGGCAGGATGCCCAGGGCATTAAAACCTGGTGGAGTCACAGCAGGGGCCCCAGAGCAGGGGTAGGGAAGGTGGTCCTGAGGAGTCCAGGTGGCAGGGAAGGTTCAGCCTAGTAATGGTGGGAGCAGTCTGTGGGGAGGAGCAAGGGGTGTGGTGCAATGAATGAGGAGATTAAGGCAGACACTGACCCTGGGGTGATGGCAATGAGATCCACATACCAAGAGGGCCCAAGGTTAGTGGGTTCTGCCAGCTAGCATTTGTCTGAGGTAAAAATCTGTGCTTGAATCAGCCCTCAGCAGGCTTGGTCCTGGTTGCAGATATTTCAACCTTCATTGCCAAGATGTGTCAGTACATGTGATCACAGATTTTAAAAGATTTATAGTCATTCAAATGTGTTCACTATCCCTTCTGTCTTAGTGTCTTCCACACGTTTGGTAAAATTGGTTCCTATGTCATTTTCCAAGTTATTACAGATAATGATAATGTCCTATCTATTTCTTAGAAGCTAGAAGAAAAGATTTTAAAAGTTTTCATCCAAGAGAAATTATAAATGTTTAAGGAGATATGTGTGTTTTATTCTGATTTCAACGTTACACAGAGTATACATACATGTATGGAAATATTCCACGGTACTCATAAATATGTACAACTTTTGTGTGTCCATTAAAAAAATAAAGATTAACCTGGACAGAGCCAAATTGAAGCACAAGGGAATGCCACCAGAGACTCCCACTCCAGGTGACAGTGACCTATTAATCAATACTTCCCAAGAACCACTGTCAACTGACTATAAGTCTACCTCTTGTCCACCTGACACACATCCACCTTTGCACAAGATAATCTTGAGGATGTAGGAAAAGGCATCACAGAAATCAAGCTACAGAGTTCATGAAATCCTCCCAATCCACTAATCAAACAATTTACAAAAAAATAAAAAGAAAAAGAAAAAGAAAAAAAGAAAAGAAAGAAAAAAGAGAAAATTTAAAGAAAAAATGAGATTAGRCTGGTTCTTAGTGAGTCCACACTAGTTCCTGGCAAAAATTGCTTTCTTGTTAAAATACTCAGAAAACCATCTGTTTAATAATCCCTTGTAGAGTTTGGTTGGCACTGGTGGTACTCGTCAATCAAATTATAAATTTCATCTATCACCCTGTTTAAAAATCAGGACAACGGTTTTCATTTTCACCCTGTTGGCTTCTCTTTCTCTCTCTGATTTTCCCAGTTTTCTCAAAGATTTCACAGGTGACTCTTGCTGCCCTTTGGGAAGTCCTCTTTGTGTACCGACTGACTTAAACTCACTTAATCAAGCTATGTAGTGTGTATATGCTGGGWTGTAGGCAGAAGGAATTTTAATTATTGTTTTTTTAAAAAAAAATTTTAGTTGTAGTTCGTCACAATACATTTATTTAACTTATTTATTTATTTTTATGTGGTGCTGAGGATTGAACTCAGGGCCTTGTACTTGCTAGGCGAGTGCTCTACCACTGAGCCACAACCCTAGCCCCAGAAGGAATTTTATTTTGATTTCTATTGCTCCTTAAAATCTGTTCAGCAGGGCATAGTTTTCCCCATCTATGAATGAAAATTCATTAGCCCAGTGACTTTTCTGATTACATCACTCATGATAAATAAAAGGTCTAATATCACTTTAAGTCGTCAAATACAGTCTCAATTTAGATTAAAATTTTCCTCCTATATAACAAGCAAAACTGTAAGCTTTGTTTCAAGTTAACTCTTTCTCATCAGCCTGGGCTGCTGCAAGCAAGAGGCTTGCAGCTAATGGAAAGGGGTGCATTTGGTCTTTTGTGTTTGCCTCTCCCTCCTACAGCAGCTTGCAAACCTGCAATGCCCCCTCCTCTAGGTGGGGTGTGCTGTGAAGCCCAGGAGGAGGAAAGCCCTTCTTTGGCACTTCWGGAAACAGGTCTTCATTTTCTGGGCTTCACAAGTGTTCAAAGCCTTCTTAATTTTGATCTTTCAGGTGAGAATCAGACCATTATTTACTGTGTCCCATCTCTTCCCCCCTCAACCACTCTCTTTGCTCTCTTTGAAGTCTCTCTCTCTCTCTCTCTCTCTCTCTCTCTCTCTCTCTCACACACACACACACACACACACACACACACACACACAGGAAGTACCCCATAGCTTGCCACCCATTCTCTCCAGAGGCTTCTTCCCCCTCAACCCTCTCCTACCTCCACTCCCTGACCCTTAAGTCGCTCGTTGTGGTTTTAAGGGTTTAAAAGAATTTGAAAGCCATTCAAAGACACTTATGAAATATTTGAACAGTGGCTTCCAATGGAATGTTACTTTTCATGTTGCAGCCAAAGGGGAGGCAGAGTCCAATTTGTATATTCAGCTAAAGTTGTTTTCCATTGTCTGTTCTTATCTTGAACTTGGATTTCCTCCATTCTGGTTTGATGGCATTTCTTCTTGATAGGGAGACAGATGAAAATAGTAGTTAAGAACATTTGCATTCTTTTTAAAACCTCTCCTCATCACACTCCATCTTCTCAAGGACAGGGATTTTCCTTCTTTTTGAAACTTGTACTTTAGAAAACCACAATCATCAGGCCATTCAATTAATTCATAATGAATAATATAATGGCAATAGATTTAAATGCTCATGTTCTTATTATTGTTTCCTAAGGGTAAAATTAAAATAGGAGTGGGAAAGAAAAAATGAAATAGACACCTAACCAAAGATTATTCAGCCTTAAAACTAAATAAAATCCTGCAATATGCAACAGTATGTTAAAATAGCAAATACATTCAACTATTCTTATTAAAAAACAGAATTAACAACTTTATACCAAACAAAAATACTCCTCTCTAGTGGGAAATACAAAGACAAGAATTAAAATTGCCGGTCATAAAGGAGTGAGGTCTGGGGAGGTAGTTCAGTGGTAGAGTGCTCTCCCGGTGTATACAAACCACTGGGTTTGATCTCCACTCCTGTGTGTGTGTGTGTGTGTGTGTGTGTGTGTCTGTCTGTCTGTCTGTGTGTCCATGCACACATATACACATAAATTGATATATTTCATTTTAATGCTTTACTTAGGAATCTGAAAGTACTAATCTTGTAAAATCGAAATACTACTGTCTGCACAGTTCTGAATCCTAATTCTTAAACTTATACTGTGAATATTTCTCATTACCAGTAAGATGGCTCCTTAGTAGGCTGATTTACATGATTTAGTCAACCTACTCCCCTATTATTGACGCTGAGGTTGATTTCATTTTTTACCATTTGGAGGAATACAACAATGTACACCAGTATGTATAAATTTGTGTTTGAGTTTCTGACTCTGATTAGAAGAGGAGCTACTAGATCAAAGTGTACAGACTTTTTAAAGGCTCTTGACACAAGCTGACAAATTGCTTTCTAGAAAGGTTTATAATAGGTCGCCTTATCTTAATGTACAGTATCATCAAACTCTATCAGGCTAGGGCCCCATCCTCAGGCCAGGGCTCATCAAGGGAACCGGAACATTTATGCAGGCAGGTCAGGTCATCCACTGCTCTGGGCAATGTCAGAGACACAGCACAAAAGTAGTTTTTAGCTACAGTAATCATAATCTCCAACTGGGTATCTGTTACAAAGGAATAGAAGGAGGAAGTGCAATTGTATATTTGCATTGTAATCAGGGTTTTCCCAGAAGGCAGTCCAGGCA